AGTTGAGAGAATAAGGTAGAGAGATGAAGTGTAGAGAGATAGTAGAAAGTGGAAAGTGAGGAGAGAGAGGAGAAGTCCCCCTCTTTGGAGGGCTTCCAGCCCTTATATACCTGTAGCGGGTATCGAGCGTTGGGCATCGCCGATCATGCGCCCTACTGCTTAGTCTGTGCGCCCCGTCCCTTAGTAACACCCCCAACAGTATTCATGCTCAGTGTGTGAGCAAAACCCTAATAACACAAAACCGAAGACTCCTTGTGTGAGTCTTCCGTGGACTAGTCTCATTCGTATGAACGAGGATACCACGTAAATCTCCGTGTCGTCGTTTTCGTTTCTTGAGTTTTAGCATTAACAGAGGGTACTCTACCAGTACATTATCTGGGGCTCCCTATCATAACATGGAAACTTACAGAAAATGAATGTTAAGTGCTGATAGCTAAGATAACAAAGAGAATCCAGTCATGGAAAAGTAAAAAAGCTCACCATATGCAGGCAGATTGCAGCTAATCTTCTGTGATAATGGGAGTAGTACAAAACTGGTTGCAAGTTTCCAACCTCCCAAAGAAAATCTTTGAAGCAAGTGCATATTTTTTATGGCACGAAGGGGAGTCTGGCAACAAGGCTAAAGTGTCACGGGAAAGGATTTCTAGACCGAAGAAAGAAGGGGGTCTAGCCTAGTATTGACAAAAATATTCGCAACCGTGGATACCCGCATGAATTCGGTCCAATTGGGTAGGATAAAATCCAAACGCGAAGGACATTTAGTGGGTATGGGTAAAAATCGAACCCGAATAGTGCGGTAATGAGTGAGCATGAGTTTCTTACTATCCAACCCGAACCCGCCTGATTATACACATGCATATGTAATTTTTCTAGAAATAATCATTATTTTTCTCTAACATATTTTATATTTAGCATATAAATATAATATTTTAATGAAATTGTATTGTTTTAATTAATTTTCTTCATTCAAGTGAATTATTGTCGTACTTTTCCTCTTACGTAAGGTAAGAATACGTGTGAATGTTAACATATTGGTTGGAGTTATGAAGATAAATTATTACTCATGGATAACCGTGAATACCGGGTATGAGCATGTTTTGATTTTCTACCCGTTTCACATGTGGGTAATGAGTAAAACCCGAACTGTTTTGGGTAGGGTAAACGATATGCACTATATCCGTCCTTGACCCGACTCATTCCCATCCCTAGGTCTAGGGTTGCAAGATATATGGTTTCTGGGACTCGAGCATGTTCACGTTGAATGTGGTGGCTACTAATGACGCAGTCAGGAGCTCTTTGGGTTGCTTGGACACTAGCGTACCACTGTAAGCAAGAGGATGTGTCGACTATTCGAATTATTTCAAATAGTTCTTTGGCAATGACTGCTCCATCTCTTTGTATCAGATTAAGTATCGTGCTTTGCTATTCGTTTGATAAGCTACACAGATCATATGATTCAGCGAATAATATTAAATAAAATATACAATTAATCCATGAAATGTTTTCTAATACAACTTATATAGAAATTAGAGCCAAAATTTTCAAAATTTAGCAAGATGTCATCCAATAAAATAAAAATCAAACGACCAGAGGGTAGGTGTTAAACAAGTTTGAAGCATGAGTAATCATGTTGTGGATGATAGCATGGATAAACTCTCATATTTTTTTTTTCCACATCAGCCCAGCACCATGGAGATTCTGAAATCCCAAATAGACATGGATCGATGAGAATACCCCAATCCAAAGCTCTAAGGTATACATGTTATGTTACGCAACCACACTAAGAAACCCACAATAATTGAAGGAAAGTCAAAATCTAGAGCACAAAATATAAGAAACCCCACTTACTTAAAATGGCAATATAGCTCCACTTTTATTCGAATTCCATAATCACTTTTTTTCTCTTCAGGAAATCCTCTTGCGTCATCATATGCTCCCATATTTATTCTCATGCATCTTTACGACGTGTCTTCGCTGTGGAAGAACCCCTCACAAATATTCTGAGAACCAATAATAATAATAATGATGTGACTCGATCATCGGCAAGAAGTTGATAATTAGGGGCTTCAAAATACAAATTTAAATTGTACGATATAATATAATGGTGGCATCTTCAGTGCACTCACTTTTTTGGGTGCATTCAGTGCACTCACTTCATAACCGTCATTTTAAATATGTGATTTATGTCCAAATGATGTCAATCATCACTTATGATGTGATGAACAATAACGCACATGAATTTGCACAAAAACCATTAAAGATTTACTTTAATTTGAAGGATTTAGAGTTTAGAGATTTAGGGTTAGGGTTAGGGTTTACAATTTGGGGTTTAGGGTTAGATATCAAATTGGAGGTCTAGGGCTTAGGGTAATCCGCTAATTAGTTGTTATCATATGTTATTTCATCATATTACAGTAATTCTACAAATTAAAATTCAAAATCCGACACCTTAAGACTAGTTTTTGAGTTGGGTGCATTGAACGCACTCATTTTTGTGAGTGCACCCAACACATAATATAATATTAAAAGTATAAATTCAGTTGTACATAAAATAATTTCCCCTTTTATGTTATTATATAAGTTCAGTTTGTATTTGTTATTAGACAATCCAAGTACCACATCGGAGATACAAGGGAAGAAACCTTTGTATATTAGTGTCCACCTAGCCCAATTAGTACGAGACCTTTTGGGGAGGACACCCAAAAGTAAAACCGTGTGGGCTTGGCCCAAAGCGGACAATATCGTACTAATGAGCAGCCCGGTTTCGACAAATGGTATCAGAGCCTGGTTTGGTTCGGGGCGGTGGACGTCAGTTTGGTGGGACCCTCATTCAATACAATGGACCTCAGGATGTGAGATCTGCATCTGTTTGGTGGATCCAGGAGAGATCCACGTTTGTTTGGCAAATCAAAGAGAGTTCCGCGTTTGGGAAAATCCTTGTACCGAGAAGCACATCGATACAAGGTGTCCGCGGATCAAGATAATCACTGAGGTGAGAACACGAAGTTCGTGATCCTTGTATTGAGGGGAGGATTGTTGTGGGACAATCCAAGTACTACATCGGTAATAATACAAGGGAAGGAACCCTTGTATATTACTGTCCACCAAGCTCATTAGTACAATGCATTTTGGGGAGGACACCCAAGAGTGAAACCGTGCGGGCTTGGCCCATATAGAAATTTGTAGAAAAAAGGTACGCTATGGTACAAGTTCAGTTTGTACCATATAGATTTTTTGCAAGCCAAAGCACCGAATCTATTAGGATTGGTGGTTTGGTTGATTAACCGAACCAAAAATCATTAGAAAATAAAAATCAGTTTAGTTACTTGCTCAAACCCGAAACCAGAATAGTTAAAAGACTTATAAGTTTTTCGGTTAATGATCAGAATATACCGACAATGAACGCTAGAATACGTTGAAAACTTATTGGTTCACTAAAGGTTTTCGATTTTAACAGAAGCTTAAATTATTAAGGACTTATAAGTTTTTCACCCGTACGTGAAGGGGGACTTATAAACGTTTAAAATCAATCTGGTTTCAATTTCACCCCGTCAATTCTATATAGCATTGCAAAAATTCCTCTCATACAATAATGCAAAATGAGGAATCTTTCTTTCCAAGCTAGCAAGGTGGCGCTAGCCATCCATGGATAGCCATATAGCTATAGCCAGAAGATTCTGCACCCTGTTTGACATTCGATCGTTATGGGTTTACTTGAGGAAAAAAATTCTTTCTGTCTGATCACTCCTTAATACATTCCTCCATTGATTCGACAGTCGACACCATTTGCATCTATTACATGATAAACAGTACATATTCGTTATCTCTTAATCCAATATTCATAAATGAAAAAAAAAAGAGAAGAAAATCTTGCAATTAATTCGACCTCATCCCCAACATGCTAATAATAGATTAATTTGATTTTATCCATATATAGCTTAGGGCAGTAGCCGAAAGCTGTGGTGTGTTTATATTAATTAATACTGCTCAAAATCTGATCTTTGTTCCAATTATATTCCAATATTAATTAACAGGATGTACGGACGGCATCTGAGTTTTAAACTAAAACTAAGCTGTGATGACTTGACTATTCAATATGCAACTTTTCTAAACTGATAAACACGGATTAATTACTAGTTAATATCAAGGCTCAAAGGGAATAGCGCCTAGTTCGTTTAGGCGTCGTTTAAGCGCGCCTACGCGCTAGAAGTGAAACAATAGTTTTTACTAAATAATGAATGGACTAGCAACTTAGAGAATTCCTACTCTTTAGTTCTAAGTGATTAAATAACTTACATAACACTTAAAAGTTAAAACAAGCAAAGATAGGTGAAAAAAATACAGAACTGTAACTCAATAGCTCACAAAGTTCCTCGTCTATTGTAAAAATCGAGAAGGAAGATTGAAAAGGTTGATGATGTTGCTTCCTTTTTTTTCTATATTGATAGTCTCTCTCTCGCTCGCTCTGCCTATTACACTTATAGCTGACACGCCTAAGTATTACCTTAATTCGTCACAGCATACGCGTGACGCCTAACAAACCGAGAAACCACTAAACGAGGTGTTTTGGCATAACCTGACGACCAGAACATACCTAGTGGTTAATTAGTTTAATCACACTTTTTCTCGAACCATTGTTAATTAATTAACATCATAGTGTCACAGTCCAGAAACCTCATGCATGGATGCCTGAAAAAAAACCCAATTTTCTTATCCAAACAAAATATCTGAAAAGAAAACACCCCCTCTCCCCACCAATCTTTTTATCCATTTTTATTATGGTATAAGGTTTGTTTTTTCTTGCCTCTCCTTTTTTTTTTCTTTTCCCTTGCCTCCACCACCATCTCCCCTTTCGTTATAAATAAGAGCCGATGAATCTCTCAACTCTCCACCATCGCACCTCAACAACAGCATCATCATATCAACTACCAAAACCAACAACCTTAACTGCAAAAAAAAACATCAAGTTTTAGTTTCCATCACCACCAAAAAAAAAAAGAATGGAGAGGGTTAGAGAGTTGTCATCGAAGAAGGCGGCGGTGATCTTCACAAAGAGCTCCTGCTGCATGTGCCACAGCATCAAGCAGCTGTTCTACGAGCTGGGTGCCAGCCCCGCGATCCACGAGCTGGATCGCGAGGCCCACGGGAGGGAGCTGGAGTGGGCCCTCCGGAGCCTCATCGGCTGCCCGACCGTCGTCCCCGCCGTGTTCATCGGCGGGAGGTACGTCGGCTCCGCCAAGGAGATCTTGTCCCTCCACCTCGATGGCTCACTCAAGCAGTTGCTCATTGACGCAAATGCCATCTGGTTCTAGCCCCCCCGCCGGCCGCATTTGCTCTCTCGTACGTCGTCAGCTAATCGTCTGCAATAATTAATAATTAGCTTTCTGTATGGGGGGAAATGTAAGGTTAAGTTAAGCTCAGACAATTAATGGTGTGTTTATGGGCTTTGATTGTGTTTTTTTACGATCAAGGTCCCCTTAATACGCTGTACGTAAATCAATGCTACAACAGGCATATGTGTTAACTGTTAATGTAATTCTAGTACTTCTTTTTTCATATTATGCTTTTAAGTTTTTTGTATTTTGTGTGGACTGTGGATATGGGATTTTGAAAAGACACGACGGAACATAGTTGTCGAGAAAACTTTGTCAGGATTCGTTTCTTCTTAGGTTGATCAGTTTGATTTACGAGAAACAAAAAGATTAATCACACATTAATTATTAAGTAGTATATGTATGTGGAATTCTTGTTCTGACATGCTACTCGGGAAGGTTTGCGAGGAAGGGGAAAAGTTCATATTCTACGATTGGAAAACTTTTGATTGGTGTATGCAGACACTTACATTATTGGTGGTCCGATCGGAAATCTCGCCGGTAAGAGTCCAAACTTATATAGTGGTTTACCAGTATGAAACAATCGAACGACATTTAAATCTTTAACTTAAACAAAAAAAAAATACTCTATCATTAACTTATCCTATACAACCTTGTCTTGACAAAGAGAATAAATTTGATTTATGGTTGGGCAACATGTATAATTGGGCATGTGATTCCCATTAACTCCTGCATCTTGAAAAATTATCACAACACTTGTCAGTAGTGATGGTAATGGGACGAGACCGAGGTCGAATTATTCCTATATAATGCTTGAAAAGGAACGTCGACACTTAACTCTTTTATAAGAGGACATAGAGAAAAGACTTAATAAATGGATGAGAAATATACTAGAATGAATAATTAAGTCCAAATAGTAGAAAAATAAAAAATAAATTTTTGTTTAGGATGAAAATATGATTTTAAAAAGGTAAAAAAAAAATATTGACGCAAATCATGACCAACCAGGTCGAGAATGGTGTGGGGCAGGTAAGATAAATCGAAAAATACTCATACCCCGCCCGGTCACGCTACTGTGAGTCGGATAATGCCCAGTTGGACATGGATCGAATCACACGGATCATATCAGGAACTAGCGTGGGCCCCGGCCAGTTGGCCGGATGAAGGTGAGGTATGAAATTTGATAATGTAATGAGGTGTGGCCGGCCGTGAACGGCTGGCTTCTAGCGTGAACTGCGACTGTCCTTCCCTTTTGGCCCGTTTTCGCTCCTTTTCATCCAACTTTCGTTCCCGGGGTTGATTTACCTGCTAGGATCTGAAAAATAGCAAAACAACGCACAACTTAGCGCAAAACCAAACCCCATTGGGTGAAATCGCCTCAACATCTAAGGAAAAAAGGGGTAAAAATACTCATTGTGCTTTTTGGTTTTTGCCAGGCCATGATAAAATCTAAAGAAATCAAGAACGAACAACACGATTTGGGATAGAAACCGTCGTTCCTGTATCCATGAAAAATGGTGGTAAACACGAACTCTACTGCGAGTCGGATAATGCCCAGTTGGACATGGATTGAATCAAACGGATCATATTAGGAATTAGCATCACTACTTGTCTCGTTGGGTCATATGACCTAAATCTAGTTAATCTTCTTAACCTGGTTTTGTTGTGGCTAGCTCTTTTTGCAGTTGAACTGTTTGACGTGAGAAGTGCAAAAAGGATTTTATGATTCGGAAGTAACTTTTCTTTTCAATGGATTAATTGAAGAACTTGGTTCTTTTAACTTTTAAGCATCTCTGATATATACAAATCTAGGGCCTCAGAAACTCCAGATCATAAGATTCTAGCTATGCCTTTTCCCAAAGTGCAAGGAGGTGATGCTTAGCTAGCTGCTAGCTTTTCTCCTGTATAGTTGGCCCTCCAATTAGTATTCCTCTATATCCGGAAAGGCAAAAACCTTTTTTCGCTCTCCCGACAAATAAATTATTCTCAGGGTTTTCTAACACTCTGTTTGGATAGAGGCGTAAACGTGGGGGAGTTAATTTCAGGGGTAAATGCCATTCCCGATAAATTTGCACCTGTTTGGAAAACTTTGTAACAGTAGGGGGGCGGATGATTGGAGGGGCAATTCTACTGTTTCCCTCCAAATTGGGGCGGAAGTGGAGAGAGAAAAGCCTGAACGAATTACAAAAAAAAAAAAAAAAACTGAACGATTTTTTTTTCCATGAATGTTTTATTCTATCTCTTTCCTCCGTCAAATCTGCCGCCGGTGATTTCGTCTCCGATGAGAAAGAAACCCACACTGCCGCCGGTAACACCTAAAATACAGAATCCATAAGCCAGAATCAAGAAAAGCAGTCAATTGATACCAAAAATCAGAGAATTAACCCAAACAACAACATGCATGCCCAAAACTTACATGGATCTAGGATTCAGATCCTCTATCTCCTCTCGCAGGCGGCTTCCGATCTCCCGCCCTACTCATCGTCACTATTCTGATCTCGCCCTAAGAAAGATCGACGGAGTTGTGGGAAGATCGATCGCGGCGGTCGGAGTGCTTGAGAGATGGGATTGATGAGATAGAGAGAGGAAGAAAGAGTGTCGGAGAAAACAGAGAAGGAAGATGGAAAGGCTGGAGAGATGAAGAAGATGGGGAGGAAATTAATGAGAGAGAGAAGGAAATTAATGGATTTGGTCTTCTGGTTAATTTTTTCAAGAAGGAAATTAGTGAGAGAGAAAAGGAAGAATGAATTGGGAGGAAAGGTTAACGCGGAGAAAGGGTAGAGATAAACGATGGGAAAATAAACAAATAATTACTCTTTTATTTTTGTATTATTTGACTAATAAAATATTATTAATTAAACATACCTTCCTATTTGCACCCTCCTACTTTTTCTCCCAAACAATCATTTGCACCCCAATTTACACCTTCTTCAAATTTGCTCCCTCCTACAATTTGCACCTCAATTTGTACCCCCTCAAATTTGCGCCCCCTTGTTGCCAAACAGAGTGTAAAAGAGAAAAACTGTGCTTTGAACTTTGAAGGTTAAAATAAATAGAGTTGATGGGACAAGACTCATGAGGGATAGTTCGAGAAAAACATTTATCCACAAGTGTGTAAACTGTAACCTAAAACTAATTTTGTATTTGAAAAAACTCAAAAGAGTAATACTACACATGTAACATCCTAGTTCGATGGGTACTAATTTGTCTAAACATATCCTTCCTAATAAATGAACAAAAAAATTTAAAGGGTAGTGGGCATACGTTAAAAACTTCTGAATTAAAGGGGAAATTCGATATACTTTTTATTTGATAACCCAGAGAATCTCAGCCCCATGTGTCGTTTGAGCGACAACGGGGCCTAATAAACTACTGGGGGTATCTGCATACTAATGCGGGCTTTCTGCTACCAACATCGGAGAGGCTTCACCTCCGATAACAAGGGTACCGCCGGGAACGCTCAAGTGGCGCCACTGGGAATCAAACTCAGGACCTCTCACATCCAGAGCTCAATTGGTCCAGTGATTTCACCACTAGGCTATGTTACCTTTGGCGAAATTCGATATACTCAAATACAATAACTTAATGTCTTCGCACTATAGGTCATTTGGAGCTACGTCTTTTTTTTAAATATAAATTGGTTCAATTAGATTGGAAATGGGCCAGACCCAAAAGAAAAGATCAACACATACAATAATCAAGGAAAGAAAAAACTCCAAGCCCAAAGCCCCAAACTTAATTGGATATCCAATAGGACCCAAACCAAGGAGCCCAAAACATGAGATCTCTACTCAAACCCTAGCAACATATGCCTCTCAAGGATTACCACCACCGCTAGAGCCTCTGTCGCATCGTTTCCACCGCCAGAACAAAGGTCGACGGAATCAAGAAATAGAGCTGAAACCACCATTCCGGGCGGAGGAAAGGGGAGAAAAACTATAGCCTCCTCCAAACCAACCCTCGCCGGACCAAAATTCCTCTGAACCTCGGTGACCATGACTCGTCCCGAATACCACAATGAAAATATCAATCAAGGGCCAAGTATAAACCTTAATTGGGTGCAATATAGGGCAAATATGTTTTAAATGGAAAACACAACACAACATCCCTGAAAATACATCAATACTTGCATTCAAACACAACCATACAAATCACTCAATTCATACAAAATTTCACATGTTTCTAGCTAGGGTTCACAAACACCCAAGTGAAATAAAGGACTGCTACATGTTAGGTAGAAGGAATACACAAAGGAGAGAAGAGAAAACCATATTGGAGATGAATGCTTTTTTCCTTTTGTGTGGAGATCAATCTTGAAAGTGAAAATTCCCAAAACCTTGAGCTTGAATGAAACCTAGCCTCCTTCCTCTTCCTTGTTCGTCACTTTCTCTCTCTAGAAGTCTTGAAGAAGAAGAAGAAGTTATTTCACTAGGATCTCCTCCCTTTCTTCCTTCAGCTCAAATCTCTTTATATACACAGATCGAAGGCATTTCCAGTTCATTGCTGTGAACATTGGCTGGGGACTGTGATCTTGAGCTTAAATGCACCGTTTTACTTATGCACTTCACGGTCCAGGAAGGATGTACGGTCCAACGACCATGATCTAGTCAAGGTCCAATGAGGTGCGCAAAACCCTCTGGAACCATGTCACTTCACGGTCGGGGAGGCTTCTTACGGTCTGGCAGGTCATGAACGACTGGCTTCCATGGTGAACTACGGTTGTCCTTCCCTTTTGACCCGTTTTCGCTCTTTTTTTGTCCAACTTTCTTTCCCATGGTTGATTTACCTGCTAGGATCTGAACAATAGCAAAACAAAGCACAACCTAGCGTAAAACCAAACCCATTGGGTGAAATCGCCTCAACATCTAAGAAAAAAGGGGGTAAAATGTGTGCATTTTGACCTGAATCACTCCCCCACACTTAGACATTTGCTTGCCTCCAAGCAAACCAATTCCAAACAAGGTAATATATCAACCTAA